CATAAAACATGTTATAAGAATCATAAAATCATGTTTCATAATCAATTCAGCTAACCCAAAAACTTTGAATAAGAGAAGCACTTTGCTATGTCATTAATAAACAGGTTGAAGAGGATTGGCCCTAAGTGTGATCTTTGAGGGACACCTCCCATACAGCACACATTATTTCAGAAGGATTTCAGAAATATTTCAAACGCTTCAAACGTATAACATTTCAAGCACAAGTTTCTGAAATATTTTAGTTAAATATTTCACTGAAAATGTTTCTGAAACATGGTATACATGTTACACAAAAAGTTACTAAACGGGTTATGTTGTAAAAGGCCAACAATTAATGAAGAATTTCTGATTTGCAAGAAGATGGGATATGTAGTTAATTTATTTCATCATATGTCCCTGTCCAGCCACCAGCTAGAAACAAGCAGCCTATATTCTATATAATTATAGGTTTGAGTTGTTGGTTTTTGATATTCATGAACTTCTTATATGGGAAGCAGAATATGTCTTTAGAAATTAAGGTGATAGCTACATAAATAATGCTTGCTTAGGTGGATCTTTATGTTTTGTTTAGACATTAGTATTGTTTTATTATAGTTAATTTAAAATATTAATAAAACCATTGTTGATCAAATAATTTGTATAAATCCTTTTTAATTACCTATATTTTGTTTCAGATTAGTGCATTTAAAGGAATTGGTGGAAATGAAGCAATTTGCCAGCTTTAGGGCTGTGTCAGTAAAAGTAACATCCAAGTTATTCAATGTTTCCAGAATAAAGTATTAAGGAACATCGTCGATGCATCCTGGTACTGTCGTAATACTGATCTTCATAGGGACCTTAAAGTAGTCACCAACAATGACTGCTCCACATGGAAACATTGAGATTATTCAGCTCCTCAACAATTCCAATCTAATAAGAAGACTCAAGAGAACCAGGCCTTTTGAGTTAGATCAGTGATGTTTGATTAAAACAGAGTATGGTGAATTTAAGCGTTATACGTTAACGGTAGTGTAACTAAATAATTAGACTCTAAAGTATACTATATAGTGAGAAGAATCTTAGTTTATGAAGTTTTTCATCCCTAGATAAGTTAGGTAAAAATAAAATTGCTAATTGATCTCAATGATTAAATTATAATAATCGTAAATGTTTCTCTTGGAACATTTATTAAAAAAATCTAGTTATTTAAAATTAGTACATTTAAAGGAATTGGTGGAAATGAAGCAATTCGCTTCTATATTTTATGAAATATTCTTTAAAACATATTTATTTATTTGTTTGTTTAAGAATCAATGTTTGAGTTTTGTGTATTTTAAATAAACATGTATATTTTTAAATGTCTTTTTTTTAGTTTAATAATATAATAAAAAAAACTAGGGGAGAGTGCCCTACAGTGAGACAGTTCCCACAGTGAGACATTTACTATATCTCTCTGAAAACTGTAATTGTTGGCAACGCTGTACAACAAACGAACTACCTCAATGCATTTACCCATCTCTTCAGTCGAATGGTAACCTTGAAGGCGATAGTTACGTTCAATATCAGTGAGTGAATAACTGGTGAAAAAATCGAGTATAATAATATCTTTCGTCTCTGTTTATATGCTGGTAAGTACCAAGGGTAACATCGTTAATTTTATTATGTCAAAATAACTTTGTAACAAACATTTTTACGTATAAATGTTCGAGTTAATGTTTAAGGTTATAGAAATACATTATGTTTTTATTAGGATATTACATTGTTCAACAGTGGGACAAAGTTGAGTGCCCTACAGTGAGACATGTCTCACTGTAGGACGCAAGTGAAATTCAGGATAAATAAATATCGTGCTTATTAAAATCTGGATTTGAAGATTTAATTTTTGTTTCAGAGCAAAGAATATGGACAAAGCAAAAAGAAAATTAAATAAACATGACGCACATGTAATGAGGGAAGCAGTAGCTATGGTAATAGCAGGACAGCCACTAAGAGAAGTTGGTCATATAAAAGGTATACCACATCAGACTTTACATCGCTATGTTAAAAAACAAAAAGAAGCTCCCGAGCCCATTTCTATGGTACCAAAATATGATGTAAGAAGAATATTTACAAAGCAGCAAGAGGATGTATTGGCAAACTACATGATCACCTGCGCAAAAATGTTCTACGGCCTACCTCTAATTGAATGTAGACAACTAGCCTACGAAATGGCAAGTGTGAATGAAATTGATATGCCAGATACCTGGAAAATTCGAAGGCTTGCAGGGAAGAAATGGATGCGGGGTTTTATGAAGAGAAATCCTCGGCTATCATTAAGGACACCTGAAGGGTGTAGTTTAGCAAGAGCTGCAGCATTCAATAAAACCAATGTAAATTTGTTTTTTGATAAATTACATACATGTTATATGAGAAGTGAACACTTCAGTAACGGAACAAGGGTTTTTAACCTAGATGAAACTGCTACCATCACACAACAAAAACACCATATAAAAATCCTAGCAGAAAGAGGCTCCAAACAAGTCAGCAAGATAACTTCTGGAGAAAAAGGAACCCTTGTCACAACGTGCATGATTGTAAGTGCAGCTGGAAATTGGTTACCACCTGCAATAGTATTTCCCAGAGTCAACTTTCACAGTCGTATGATCAATGGTTCACCACGAGGCACATTAGGTTTGGCAGCTAAGACGGGTTGGATGAACACCGATTTATTTATTGATGTAATGAAACATTTTATTAAATGTAGTGGGTCCTCACAAGCAAATCCTTCTATACTAATTTATGACAATCACGAGAGCCACATATCAATACATTGTATTGAATTGGCAAAAGAAAACTGTGTAACGCTTTTAACCTTTCCTCCCCATTCGACGCATAAGTTGCAACCATTAGATGTTGGAATTTTCGGGCCTTTTCAGAAGTTTTATAACGCTGCAGTAGATAGCTGGATGCTTCACAATCCTGGACATTCATTTAGTATATATGAAGTTGCGGCATGTGTTGGACAAGCACATGAAAAAGTAATGATACCGGCAACAATAACGCATGCCTTTAAAAAGACTGGAATTATGCCATATGATCGAAACATTTTTACTGAAGATGACTTCCTAAGTAGCCAAGTAACCGAAAAACCTTTAATTGAAGACAACAACAGTGAAAATGACCAACCCAGACTAAAATTATTGAAATTAATGAAATCCAGACAACTACTGAAATTAATCAAATTCAGGAAACTGCTGCCGCTAATGCGATTCCAACCGTAGAAATTCAGACAACTGCTGAAATGATTGAAATTTCTGACAAGGTTCTAAAACCAACTTCTGGTCAAAATAGTCAGATATCAACTCCACAAGAAAATTTGTCTCTTGAAATCCAATCTACGCCAAGTACATCGAAACAACAATTAGTGGATCAGGAAAATCAACCAAAACTTAATTTTATCTCTCCCGATATATTTAGAGGATATCCAAAGAAAACTGTCGACAAAGGAAAGATAAGGAAACAAAGAAAAAAAGGAAAATGTATGATAGCCACTGACACCCCAGAGAAAAATGAAATCGAAGAAAACTTTCTGGAAAGAAAGAAAAAGTTGCAAAAGCAAAAAACAACTATACTAAATATTAGTCAAAGCTGTAAGATAAAAAAGACACCTCAGAACATAAAAAAAATTAAATACAACTCTAACACTTTAAAGGATTCTAGTGAAGAATCCAGTGATGAATTTTCCGATAAGGAAAATACTTCAGATGAATACGAATCTGATGAACGAGAAGATCTAGTTCTAAATAAGTTAGAAAAACAGCCAAAAGCAGATGATTACGAATTAGCATGTTTTAAGGCAAAATCTTCAAATATTTACTATGTGGGTAAAGTGATAAAGGGGGGTGATGGGGAAACAGAAATAAGTTTCCTCCGTAGACTGGCGCAACAAAATAAATTTACTTATCCGCAGGTACCCGACATTTGTTCTGTCCAAAATAGTGATATAAGTGCCATTTTACTAGACGACAACATGCATACCTAACTTGTCATGTTAATTTTGACAATTTGGAAGTTCGTTAATTGTTTCTGTACCTAATGAAATGACAAAAAAATATTTTACACTGTTATTTTTCCTATGTCCCACCCAAAGAACCATTGTCTCATTGTTGGACACCCCATGTCTCACCCTTGGACAAGAGTGCCCAACAGTGAGACAATTTTTTAATAAAATAAAAAATTATTATTACCTATTTCCCATTCGATTTAATAAAAAATATTGCCAGAATTATTTGTCTATGCAAGAGTTACTTAATTGGTATTTTTTATTTTTTTTGTACACGAAAACTTTAAAAGTTATTGACGAAATAAAAAAAATGTCCCACTGTAGGGCACTTTCCCCTACAATACATTTCTGAAATATTACTATTTAATATTTCTAAATTCATTTGTGAAATATTATATTTAAAGGACATTTTTAATTTTCAAGCATATTTCAGAAATGTTTTTAGGATGTTTCTGGGATGTTTCGTAATATTTATACAACACTGCAAATGTTTCAATGTAACATTGTTGAAATATTTCCGAAATGTGTTTGTGCTGTATGGACTAATACTTGTAACGCTTTTTTATGAGTACACCTGTACTGTATCTATTCACTTTCATATTCGTTTATTTTAGATCATCGGAAGTTTACGGATTTTCGGAAACGTTTTAAATAATAAAATAAAAAATAAATTAAGCGTATGTTACTATAATTCGTGGAACAAAATATCCGGTACATCAAAAAATAAAATACTTTTTTTTTTCAACAACCATGTATTAACAAGTGACAGAAGGAGTCCGAGGACACTCATCTAAAAATCCTTTCGAGATAATTTTTTGTTTGTTTATTATTATCACCCGCGCTCGCTTATTTACAATTAATCAAAATATATATTTGTCGATCTGAGATCTCGACAATTTCAGATGAGTTCCGCTTCCATCTTAGTTTGTCATTTATTTTTCTTTTCATTTTTTCTTCTAATGTATACACATCTTAACATTTACAAAATTGCTGCGTCAATGCTCCTGCTCGGTATCAGGGGGCTGAGAGTTCCTGCTACTTTTTGTCCACGCTCCATTTCATAGTGAGTATCAAGAGGAATACCTAAATAAAAAAAAAAATACTAAAATAAGGGACTTATTGTTTGCTACAGAATATACAAGTTGCTTTTGACTTTTGACTGACTTCAAAAAAGGAGGAGGTTCTCAATTCGTCGTAATATTTGTTTTTTATGTATGTTCAGCGATAATTCTTTAAGACGGTGTCCGATTTTAATGATTCTTTTTTTGTTAGAAAGGGGGTACTTCAGGAGTGGTCCCATATAAATTTGATCAAAATCTAATAATCGGATCCATGAGAAAATCCTCAAACTCTTAATAGTCGCGTCAAAGTAGGTTTTCACTTCAAACTTTGGTCGGAAAGGTCAAATCGGGCTAATTTTTTTTGCAAAATGTTCATTGAGACATGAGATTCAAAGTTCACTAAAATCTAGATGCCGCTCGGCCTCCCTCCCCCCAAATTCACCCCAATTGGGGGGAATTCCCGGCTTTTTTCAATAAAAGGCGCATACTTCACAAAACTGAAGTCCCAAGTGAAGTAAATGTTCCACTCGGGGGGTTTTAAAGTACCCTGAATCCATTATTTGGGTCAGGTCGCATTTGCGACCTTCCCAGGAATGGGTGACAGGGCCACTGGGGGTCCAATATACTAGATGTCCGTGGAAATGTATTTGGGCTCCCAAATTGCGCTAGGGGAGTTTAGAAGGGCGGAGATCTCAATGTCATCGAGAATTAAGCCTTTTCAAGTCCTCAGGGTCGTATAAAAAGGGGCCCATGGGGTCTCAAATATCATGATCACGCGGGATTGAATTTCAGGACATAGAATTGGTACGCGCTAGTGTTATAAAACAAACAAATCTAAATTTGGGCAGCCTGTCATCCTGTGAGACAACCAGGGGTGTCCGAACAGGGTGCTGGGCCCAAAATATGGGATTTGATTTTATTTGATATCAAAATGTAAAATTGATATAATTTCTCCACCGAGTATACTTTTTTTTTTATTTGGTGTCATCGGCGTCGACTACTATGGCCATTAGCCTCGTGTTCTGTGTAGGCTTCGTTACTGTTTCCCAGCAGCGCCACTTTAGAAACAGCACTGTTAATTAGAACTAGACTTGGTCTTTTTGAGTACATAATTAGTAACAACAAATAAACAGAAATACAATAAATGAGAAAAAAACCACGAAGTAAATCAAAGTTACTTGTATGTGGCATACTACACATTTTTTAACATTATAGGTATATAAAAAAGTATTTAAACTTACATAAAAATAAAAATATAGAACCTTACTATCTAAAATAATGTAAACAACAAAAAGGGGGTGGGTGGCTCAGTGGTAGAGTCTCTGCCTGTGGATCCAAGGGTCCCAGGTTCGAATCCCACCGTTGGCCGGAATTTATTCATTTAATTTAATTATTTAAAATTAATTCTGATGCCTTGGTAGAATTCCCCACTCGACCATTCACTGTTGTGTTCTAATTAACAGTGCTGTCCCTAAAGTGGCGCTGGGAAACAGTAACAAAGCCTACACATAACACGAGGCTAAATAACCTTAGCAGTTGAAGCTGATTACACACAAAAAAAAAATATAGATACACACAGGGATTTTAAAAATAAATTCTAATTTTCAATAATTTCATGTGCAAAGGCACGTGGCATGTTCAAGATAAATCTTTTTATTTTCTTTTTGTATTTCGTTTCTAATATCACAGGGTAATGAATTATAAATTTTAGGACCTAAAAAGGAATAAGATTTTTTGTCCAATAGATTTCTTCATATAAGGAGGAACGTACGTTAGTTTGTTACGGGTGGCATATTCGTGACTAGAAATTTTTAAGTTCCACCTTGTGGTTATACTGGAGAATACCTACGTTTATAAAATATAGCTGTCTAGGATCAAATATACCACTCTCACTATATATTTGTTTAAATTTATATAATACACAACGCAGTTTTTTTAAGGTATATTCTATGTGTTGATCCCACCTTAAGTTATGGTCTATTATAATTCCAAGGTATTTTATTTTTCTTACAGGGGTAATGCTAAACGTATTTCCAACAATAAGGTTATCATCCGGAAGAGCGTTACAATAAGTACTAAATGGTAAGTAATTTGTTTTTTTAAAGTTTAATGACAAGAGCCTATGATCAAACCACATCTTTATTTTTTCTAAGTCTTGTTCTAATTTTATCTTTAGAGTATACCAGTTACTATCTTCACAAAATATCAGATGAATTGTAGACTTAGATCCCCAGCAAACCCTTTTCCGGGAGGTTCAAGAGTGTATATATATGATAAAAAATTGCAATTAAGAACCTTCAAGATTTCGTGTGATGTGATGGCAAAGTGCCCCAACCGTAAACATCGATAGAATGTCCTTGTTGATCTGGGCATGTCGTTGTATTGGCTGAGATTAAATGCCACTCGAATAAACCATTGGTTAACTGCCTGGTCAGCGCAATTATATGAATTTTATATAATGAAATCGAATCAAATCGAGTCCCAGGGGAAACTTGATAGTTTCACCCCCTCAGCACCCTCGTTCGTGGAGCTCTGGAGCCGCCTGCTTGCAAGCCAGGGCAACATAAAATTACACTCTTACCAACCCTCATCATACCAACTTTGTATGAGAAAATGGAATTTTACGAGAATTTAAATTTGGGGCCCCTTGGAACCCCTATCGCTCATAACTGGGTTCGTCAGAGACTCAAAAAGGCCAAGGAGTATACTCGATGGCGGAATTATATCAATTTTACATGTTGATTTCAAATAAAATCAAATCTCATATTTTGGGCCCCGGTACCCCTTTCGGACACCCCTGGTTGGGTCACAGGATGACAGGCTGCCCAATATAGAGTTTGTAGTTTTATAACACTACCGCGTACCAATTCTGTGTCCCGAAATTCAATCCCGCGTAATCATGAAATTTGAGACCCCATGGGCCTCTGTGTATACGGCTCTGATGGCTTGAAAAGTCTTAATTCTCGATGAAATTGAGATCTCCGCCCTTCTAAACCCCCCTGACGCAACTTGGCAGCCCAAACACATTTCCACAGACATCTCATATTTTGGACCCCCAGACGCCCTGTCACACACCCCTGGAAGGTCGCAAAGGCGATCTAACCCAAATAATGGATTCAGGGCACTTCAAACCCCCCGAGTGTTACATTTGCCCCGCTTGGGACTGCAGTTTTAGAAAGTATGTGGCTTGTGCACCCCAATTGGGGTGCATTTGGGGCGGGAGGGAGGCCGAGCGGCATCTAGATTTTGGTGAACTTTGAATCTCATGTCTCAATGAACATTTTGCAGAAAAAAATAGCCCAATCGGACCTTTCCGACCAAAGTTCGAAGTTTCTGCGTTTTTAGTCCTACTTTGACGCGACTATAATTTTTTATGTATGTTTATCGATAATTCTTTACTACCTTGTCCGATTTCTATGATTTTTTTTTGTTAGTAAAGGGTGGCATCTGTACGATTTTGAAGTCGGTTTTTAAAATTACTTTTAATACTTGTTATGACGACGAAAAATCAAATAACAATACTCGTATCCCACGTGACCAAATTGATATATCACCAACTGACAGCAGATTTACCATAAATTCTTATTCAGAATGATGATTTGTGTTTCACAAAAAAAATTACAAACAACTCTAAATATTTACCTAAAAAATTAATTTCAAACCATAATTAATTCCTTAAATTTTGACGAATCATATGTGGACTATGTTGAAAAAAAAAATCATTGGTACTTACCCGAATCAACATGATGTGATGATTTTGTAGGAATAAATGAAGCCACGAATAAAGCGCAAATGACTAGAAAAGCACCAAAAACGAATGGAGGTCCAGGCACAAGCTGAAATAAAAATACCATCAATAATATGAAACATATCGTGAACAAGAGACACATTTTTTTATTATAAGAAATCTATTAAAAGTGTTTAACCACTAAGTTGTTAAACAGTGTCATTTTCCAATGACCTTGGTTAAAGTCTTATATTTAAGGTAAAACACCTCATCAAAATGGATTTAGCATTGTCAACAAAAATAAAAAACGAGTTATACACATTTTGTAAGTTTGTAAATACGAGGGTCATACTAAAAATCAATATAAAATATCGAATTTAATATTTTTAAGCTGTTACTATAACAACTGGAGGTTATAGAAGATACTCGTTGACAAATAAACCCCTTGCATGAGGTCATTAAAGCCCCACCTGTCTGTCGCAATGTTAAATTAAAATTCCATATATTTTCAGTCTGGATTCTTTGTGTGCCTCTAAGTACTAAATGACGTGGATGATCATGAAGCACGATTGCTTGTGTTGCTGCCATCTAATTCAAACGACAATATTCTACTAGAAAAAATAAAGAAAAACCCTAGATCAATCGAATTAATTTCAAAGAAATTAATAAAAAATGGAACCTATGACATATGTGCAGGTCAACAAGAGCCGAGAAAGATTATGCTGCATATAGAAATCACAACAATAAACTTAAAAATTTATGGACTGTATTTAGAAAAGATTATGAACATAACCTCTTAAAATGAGGCGAAACGAAATTTTACTCCTATGTGAAAAGAAACACGCTAAGAAACACTACAACAAATTTAGCAATCACAGAACCAGCCGAGAGAGCAGAAATATTTTCAAAACGGTTCAGTGTAGATTATACAACAGAACTTGATACAGAATCACCACAAATAACTGCAACAAAAAGAGTTGAGAATAGCATAGTAAATATAGAATTTACTCCAGAAAAAGTGAAATTTGCAAAAGATAGTCTTAAACAAGATTCAAGTCCTGGAATAGATGAAATCCCACCCATTTAAAAAAAAATGTTTAATAACTTTCTCAACCTCCTCGCGACAGTTATGAACGACTATATGCAAAAACAGTAACTGCCAATGGACTGGAACCAGGCTATAGTCACTCCTATATATAAGAAAGGCGACAAGAATCCCATAAACTTACAAGCTGTATCGGTAAAAGAAGTAACCAAGTTTGTGATGGAACACAGAGTTTTTACCAAGCAATCAGCATGGATTTACACCCAAAAAATCTGTTGTTACAAATCTTTAACCCCTGGACAACTTGGAATGACAACAACCAGTCAATTGACGTGATATATATTGATTATGAGAAAGTTTTTAATTAAAGTTCCACTTAGCTTACTAGCTTAGCAAACTAGAACACTTTGGAATAAGAGGCAATCTATTATTAATTGTGGATTAAGAGTTTCTTATTTAACCAAAAGTTTTGCGTAATAAATGGACAGCTGTCAAACAACCGTTCAGTAGAAAGTGGAGTACCACAAGGTTCGGTTTTGAGTCCCCTATTATTTATTTTATATAACTGCGATTTATGCAAAATCATCAAGTCAGAAGCCAACTTTTATGCAAACGACGGAAAGAGAGCCCAAGTTAAAAGAATTATTGACGAACACAATATTGTTATACAAAATATAACCTATATCAGTGTCTCGTCATTATAAAATTCTGTAATATCATAATAAGGCCTAGTTAATAGAAAACTCCTGAGCAGCTTTCTAAAACCATTCTGTGACTCAACATCTGTCAAAGTATGTGATAGCCTGTTGTACATCTTGATACCATTATATATAAAAGTCTCTTATAAGTTAAGTTTTGGGAATAGGCAACTTCAAGTTACCCGTTTGGCAAGTTACACGGGATATATTCAATTTATATTTCGACTTGTTCCTATGGATCATGCAACAAGTTATTAAGATAAATAATGAAGTTAATGTTAATATTTCTTGTTTTAAGAACAACGGTCTACATCAAACTAATCTGTGTGCTCCACATAAGAACCTTATATTGCCCGTTTCTGCATTATAAAGACTATCAAATAATTCGGCAGAATAGACTTCCCAAAACGGAACAGCATAACGTAAATGGGAGTCAACTAACGCATAATATGCAGTTTTTGCTGCACAAACTCCTAATTCATGAGAGGTAGTTCTAATGGCATAACAATCCGATGCGAGTTTTTTTAAAGTGGTTCCACATGAGATTTGAATTTTAAATCCGTCTCGATATTTAAACCCAAAAATTTTGTAGAGTCTGTGGCTTTTACAGTATCCATATCTATTTAAATATCAGGAATATTACATTTAAAGGTTAGTATTTTTTTTTTAATTTAATGACAGTGCACCATGTTTTAAAGTATTTGAGGTCATTACTAATATTTGCATAAAGAATATTGACGTCTTTATTATGCCACAAGATAGTAGTATCGTCAGCAAATAGAGTGAAACTTCCCGAGATATTTAACTTACCTAAATCATTTATATAAATTAAAAACAGAGTTGGCCCAAGAACCGAACCTTGAGGGACACCCCATTTTAAGTGACTTGTTTTCGAGTCTGAAACAGTTCGGAACTAACTATTTGCGACCTAAAAGAGGCCACATCTCGTATGCCATAAACTTCAAACTTTCGCAGCAGTACTCCGTGGTTGACACAGTCAAAAGCTTTAGTCAGATCACAAATACTGCAGCTACGGCCTCGTTGAAATTTATACTTGTATAGGCTAATTCCAAACAAGAACAAACAGCATCCGATACGTTTTTGTTGTGTTGAAAACCAAATTGATTTATGTCCAGTACATTATTTTGGTCTAGATATATAACTAGTCGAGTTTTTACAAGTTTCTCAATAATTTTTCCCAGTGTCGGAATTAGAGATATGGGCCTAAAATTAGACGGCTCAGTCAAGTCTCCTCCCTTATATAATGGAACTCCACAACACTCGTTTTAAGAAAAGGAGGAAAAGTACCTTCATTAAAACTTTTATTTATTAAAAGGGATAAAACGTCTAATGCAGAGGTAGGTAAGTTTTGAAATACTTTTACTGACATTCCATCATATTCTGATGCAGTTTTGTTGTGTATGTCATTACAAACTTTTAATATTTCTAAGGAATTTGTTTCTCTTAAGAAAAATGAGTATTTAATTGGTGACGATTTTACAAATTCTAATGGGTCAATTGTTCTATTTAGATTTGTTGTTAGATTTTCAGTGATATTGCAATAAAATGTATTGAAATCGTTAGGATTTATATTTGCATTGCATGATTTATGGGTACTTTTGCACCTCAATTCATTAATAATAGACCAAGTTTTCTTGCCTTATTTTTTGAGCTCTCAATTCTTTTGCTTTTCTAATAAGTGTTCTATATAAAGTTTTATAGAGGTTTTAATTTCATTAGTGACATACATTTTGTTGTCCTAGTAGTATCAATCTAATAACGGTACTGTGGGTTTTGCTAGGTTTCCCTGCTGTTATAGCGAATGCGTCGTTTGTATTAGTAAGACGTTTTAGTCACGAAATATGGTTGTCATCAGATTGGTACTACATAAAATATGCTTTTTTTTCTTGACTTGTGTTATATATTGCAATGTATATTAAATATAAATTGCCATAAATATATATGTTGTGATGTCCCTGACACCAATAAAGAATTTGAATTTGAGTGGATAAAGAACTCGAAGAAGGAAGAAAATCTTATTCCTTATAGTTTACAGTATAATCAGTTTTAACTGTCATGTAGTAATTTAGAATAATTTGTAACTAACTTAAAGAGCAGCTTCATCGACAATGTTGCTTGCCTGTTCTTAAAAACAATAATAATGAATACGTGTCTCAATTTTCAAGCATTTAAACAAATATAATAGAGTATATTTACCTGTGAGTACGCTTCGAAGGTAGAAGTCGCATGCGTTGCTTCTTGATTGGCATTGTTCGCATTTAGATCAACGTGGAACATATAAAATACTACACCGAACATGGCTGGACCCATACCGTTGCACAGCCCTCTCATACCGGTGACCATACCTAGAAAATTATAGTTAATTTAACATATATTTGTTATTTTTTTATTATTATTATTATTATTATTAAACTGTTTGATATATTTGTTAAAAATACAAGACATTTTTATTCGTAAAAATAAATAAACTCAATATGGTGCTGTAGCAATTCCAGAAACGTGCTACATTTCAATATTACAAAAATATTTTTTACACTGTTGCTATCAGAGAAAGACATTCGATCACAGAACAAAGTAAATACATTAGCAATAAAATCATTTTAAAGAAGTTATAAAAGTAATAAAAAAAAAACTCCAAAACAGTTTAATGCAACTGTTTTGGATGAACCTAAAAGTTTTGTCTACGTCCCAACCGCATCTCGGGTTCCCGCGGTGTTGCCAAATGCCAATAGGTCAATTTGTAAGTTAGATTTTTTATTTACTTCGGCTGTGTTGTTTCTGCTTGTACCATAGAAAAATAGATTGTACAATCGGTTATAGACCATTTCATGTGGTACGAAATATATGGTGGCAATACAAAAGATACTTTTACCAATATTTGTGAACATATTTCAGAAAAATATGCATTTTAATTAATTGTTGTGCTTATTAAAAAAATCAATAGGTACTTGGGTTTATTTGGTATAAGTAGCGATATTAAGCTGAGAAGCAAGAATGCCTATTCTTTGATCTGTGTCAGTTGGCCGGGAAGAGGATTTCACTCATGTTCAGCTTGAAAGTATGTTTGCATTCATCACAAACAAATTCCATGTGGAATTTTTCGTATTTCACTTTTATCACATGAATGATGTACAAATACTAAGTTTAACAAAACATAACCAAACAAATTTAATTTACAAATTGACGTATTGGCATTTGGCAACACCGTGGGTACCCAAGTTGCGGTTGGGACGTAGACTCTAGTGAACCTAAACTTACTGACACATTTAATGACATGTGCCGCGTTTGAATATCCACATCCGATGCATTTTTTACATATCGAGCGTTTGTTTATACACATCGGACACATCTACTACATCTACGTTTGCTTATCCGAGATGTAGTTGTCCAGAATACATTTTTTACATCTCGATTTGAAATGAGATGTGAATGAGATGTAGGTGTTCTGTGAAGCTCATATGATGGATTTATACTTTATTTATGCTAGCGTGAATATAAAAGTGTTTAATTTTTGTTTAGAATATAAATTTAGGTTGATTATCATTTTATCACGTGACCAATAAAGTCTAGAGCGTTTGTTTATTACATCTACATTCAGATCTAATCATCTATCACGTGATAAAAAATTCACAACATCTCAGATGCATTCGATGTAGATATTCAACCGCAGCAATGATTGAATAGTAAGATTAATTGACACTTTTTGGGGTTTAAGAACATGGTATCTGTGATTTTTTCGTAAATCCTATATTTGATGTCATAAGATATGTATAGGTATAAGATCTGTATAGGTTAAGGCTGCGACATTTGCGTCAGCGATTTTATGACGAAGCAAGTATTCAATACATTGTTCATACTGTACCGCTAGCTAGACTTTTGGCGACATTTAGTTTCAATTTAATAATTGCACTGTAACATGAAAAATTAATCTGTCAAAACTTTACCTAGTTGGTAAGTAGTAAGTAGGTTAAATGTGACAAAAACAAAACATCAAATTTTACCTCAGAATAATGTTTCAATATTTATTCACATTACTGGTATATTGTATTCACTTGTAAACTACACTCACTGGCAGAATTAACCGCAAACCCAATTATTTTTATTTATTTCTGAAATTTTCGGAGATTTTCGTCACTTTTTGACATTAATTGATATGACGTGACATTTTGACAGTAAATAAATGTTTAACTGTCAGTGCTGATATTCTTCCGCTTTTTATTAGTAATTTGGTTCCAATTTGGCTTGTTTAATGTTAGTGAATTTACATTTGTTATCTTTATTAGACTTAATTATAGACTTGTTTAGTGTTGGTGTATATTTTGTAAAATCGGTTTAAGTTTAGTTCAAAACAGTTTTATTCAAAACAATGCCATTGGGAGCAGAATCAGTAGCCAGGGCTGTAGTTCTATCTGATGAAGGTTATAGTCAACGTCGTATTGCTGGAATACTTGGTGCTGCTCGTGAAACAGTCAGAGATGCCATAAGGCGTTTTCAAGAGACAGGTTTTACACCAGAAGGCCTGATCAGGGCCGCTATCGCTGCATTTCAATGAGGGACGATCGTTTTGTTGTGAGCACGATTTTAAGAGATCGGTTCTGTACCGCTGTTGAAGCCCGTACTCGTCTTGCTGAGGTTAGAAATGTGGAGGTCAGCGAGAGAATCATAAGAAGGATTTGACAAGGGGGGGTAGCCATGTGTGAGTTGAGGTAATTTTAAGGTGAAGGGGGGAGAAAAAGTCCTTTATATCTCACAAGGAAAGTCAATGTTGAATTATTCAACAAAACATTGAGTGCGACCGGTTTCGAAGTATCATCACTTCATCTTCAGGCTCGCCTAGTGGAAAGGAGAATATGTGGTGTAAGGTGTGTTGACTTTAAGCCCACAATATATAAAATAGTAAAAAATAGAAAAACTCACCGTACTCTCCATCCACTAGGGAATACTACAGACAAGTTTTATCAAAACGTGGGGGATGAAATAAATTGTAAAACAAAACAATGTTACAAGTTATAAAAAGTTAAAAATATTTGAAAAACAAATAAGAAGGAGGTTGGCAGAAAGGAATCTTTTAGCGAGACGCCCTTACCGAGCCCCTCAGCTTCGTCCGCATCACAAAACAACTAGACTCCGTTTTGCGCGTGAATACAGTATGTGGAATATGGATCGGTGGAAGAATGTTTTACATATTCTCTGACGAGAGCAGAATTGCTTTACAATGTCCAGATGGCCGCCAGCGTGTATACAGACGCCCGACAGAGCGTTTTGCGCCTTGTGCTCTTCTGGAAACTGTGGGTTATCAAGGAGGCTCAATAATGATATGGGGCGGAATTTCTTACGACGAAGTAACATTTTTAGGCGAATAAAGTTTTATTTATGTTTTATTATGGTTTTGTAAAAGCATAAAAATTAATAATTATTTTATTACAATTATTTTTTTTGCTAATAGAACTGCAGGATAAATTGATCTTATTACTTGGTTTTATAGATTCCTTTAAGTCTATTTAAGAAAACCATTTTATCCTAAAGTAAACTAAGCATTATCGCTGTCATGTAAGGGTTAATTAATAAGTAATTTTAGAACTATTTAGTTTGAAGATGCTCCTAAGGTATGTTTGGTGTTAAAGAGGCATACTTTTTAGCAGTTATCTTAAATAGGTTTTAAAACTTAGTTTTAAAAAATGTTTTAGGATTATACTTTAAATTAAATTGATCCCAGAACCTTTTGGGTACATTTTCTACAATTTTACAACATAACTCTTACAATTTATTTAATTTAATTAACGATAGGGGTCTTTTAAAACTACATAGTTTTAATAAGACCTAAAGTTTGCTTTAGAGCATAGCCTAGCTTTAAAACCCTTTCACATTATATTGACGTTGAAAGATAAATTGTTCAAAATAAAGAAAAGTAGTAATTTCCATAGAGAATAAAAAAAATGTATATGTTTCTCCTTCTCCTCAGTGTTTAATAAGTTCATTGTGTGCCATTGTTTAACAAATATCAAAGAAACATTCCGAGGCTCCTAATATTCTGGAAATGATCAGAGAAAGAGGAAAATGGTTAATATATTATTACTAATTTTTATATTTTGATTGATTTGTTCATAGAGTAAATGAAAAGCTCAAAAGTGAGGTTAAGTTATGCCCTTCTGATTGAACTTATGAATGTTTTATTAAGGTTTTCGTTTTTACTATTGTTTTATGAAACGATTTAAAAAGTGTATCAGGAGCTTTTTAAAACTGGAAAGTCCTAAAAAGTATTTTTTTTTTGCTTTATTAGTTTTATAAGCTAATGTCCGTTTTTAGGTACATATAGAACACAATGAGGAAATCCTCCATTTTAAATATGGCAGTGGCGGTTTAACCACATATCATGTAAAATGGTACCTGTCTACCAGACCTATACCTAAAGGACATTCAATTAACTTACTTTTGAATATTAAAATAAATTATGGTCAAAGTTCAAATAATTCTAAAATCTTTTGATTTAGTAATGATGTATTTTGTGTACCAGAGACAGTGATAGTGTGCCAATGACAGTAGATTTTTTATTTATGATTGCGTTTACTGCGTTTAACCACATATTATCAAATTTGTCAAATATATCTACAGCTAATTTCTTTTAGATTATGTAATTTATATTGGAACATACTGTAATATAAATAAACACAAAGTTTGTTTTTGACAGTCCAGTAGGTAGTATGCGCAATTGAAAATGGTTTTCTGATGATGACAAGTATCCATGCAAAGACAAAACTACAATAGGATTTATATTGGCAGTTAAATAGTCACTTCCAAGAAATAATTTGCAAAATACAAAATGTGATATTTTATATGAAAAATATATCGAAGACAAGTGTGATCATTTTATAGTGCTATATATACAATATTAACAATATTATTTTCTATTAAATAACTTTCGGTAAATAGATTAGAATCCTTATAATAATCCTTTTTTTTAAATATATTTCATATATTGTAAAGCCCATCACTTATTACGACCCACCTTGCCCACTTTTAACAGTACTTTGGTGTGTGTTTAGAAATTGAAGAAATAGCAAGTGTAACCAAACAAATTAAACATACACTATACCGGGTGTTCAAATTAAAGTGTTACAGTTAAATACCGCCGAAAATATGCATTTTAGAAACAAAAGTTTTATAGTTTTTTGGGGGAAACATTTTGGCTAAATTAATTTTTTAGGTAGACTTTGTTTTTTTAAATGGGAACCCCATTTTTTTTACATAAAAAAATAAGAAACTTTTGATGGAAATATTTTTTTTATTCGACTTTTACTTTTTGAGTAACAGCTACTTGAAAATTTTGTTGGACAAAAAAAGTTGTCCATATTATGGTTAGCTATAAAAAACGATTTTAGCCAACTTTTTTTCCCACAAAACTATAATACTTTCGTCTGAAACGTTTTTTTTATAATAGGCGGTATTTAGCTGTAACACTTTAATTTGAACACCCGGTATAATAAAATTAATTTCTAATATGGCAGTCATCCCAACATGTTTGGAAAATCATTCTGTCAGAGAGTATGATAAAACAGAATAAAGCTAAAATTTAATTCTCTTAAAACTGATTAGTTTTGTAAAGTTTTTATGCCTATCCCACTTATTATCATAATCTTAAAAAAGATTTAAAAATGGTTTAATAAAATTCTTAATATACTCTTACGGACTATGACTTAGAACTAATTAGTTTTAAGATATTGTTTTAAAAATACTCCTAAGAACCGTTATAGGATTCTCCCTTTTACTCTTAAAGAAGATTTATAGCAGCCCTAAGGCTATCTCGCGGATTCAAAAGTTTTATCAGTGTTTTAAAAAAGGGTTTTATGGTTACCTTGTATACTTTGATAAATCTAAAAATGTTACTTGGGGAGGCTCGTACGGATCTGGTAATTTTTACTAAAGGCGGTGTAGATGCTCACAGGTATGTTCAAGAAGTTCTTCAAGAACATGTTATTCCTTTTCCGCCATATATTGGCGACGAGTTTGTTCTTCAGCAAGACAACGCACGATGTAAGACTAGCCTTAGGCTAAATCTCGCCCAGGCAAATGTACATTTCTATATATTCTTTGTATTTTTGGTATGTACAAATAAAGACCATTTATTATTATTATTATTATGTCATGTCGCTCGAGTGGTTTCGCAATACCTTAACGAAGTTGGCATCAGAACTTTGCCATGGTCAGCACAGAGTCTAGACCTCAATCCAATTGAACACATTTGGGACAACCTAAAAAAACGGATTCGAGCACGAACACCAGCTCCAACCACTATTCGAGAGCTGAAAACTGCTGCGGTGGAAGCTGAGATTCAAGCCATCATGGATACCATTCCACGCAGGCTTAGTGATGTGATCAGGGCAAGAGGGGGTAACACTCTTTACTAAAGTGAATTTGTTAATAACAATACTTTTTTGTCGATAAACTTCATGTATTGCTAATCTTATTCAAAAAGTTCAAAATTTTCAAAAACTGGTTTTCTTTTATTTTTTAAAATTAAACAAAAACTTTAATTTGATTAGTATTTGTTTGCTTTTTCAAGATGTACTTAGACATTAAAAAGTAAAAAAATCAAAATTACAAATATCTCCAACTAAATAACAAAACATTGATTGGGTGGGCTGTTAATTCTGCCGGTGAGTGTACATTTAATGGTCATAATAATAATTTTAATCCTAAAGAACAGGGTCAATTGAACTTTTGGGTAGAAATTTTATTACTTTATGGTTTTTCCTATTTCGAAGGGTTTTGTTTACCTACATTATACCTATAAATCTGCAAAACTTCTAAATCGATTATTTTATAATTTGAATGTTTCCTAAATTCATTTTCATAATTAAATAATTTGATTTTTCTTATGCCTACCTATTAGGCAATAGGTATTTCTAAAATGCAAAATATTATTAGTTATGTAAAAATAAAATTTGACAAGAACATGATCGCTCATGCTTTCGTTGATTAGACAGAATTTATGAAAATTAAAAATCGATTGTATCGATTATAATGAGAATTTCGAAACTATGCAACAGTAGTAGCGTTCGGTTTGGCCAGGGACTGGAACGGGACAGGAGCGGAGTTATTTTAGGATGCTTTTAAATAACATTTAAGCGTGTTAAACAGTCACTAATCGGATAAACTGAACGCTAAATGGGTCGTTTGGAATTAAAAGTGTTAAAGGGGGTTAAAGGAACTTGGCAGACCAAACGCAATGTAAAGCCAAAAAAACTGTCAAATGTCGAAGGGTTGAAGTCGAAACACCTAAACAAAACGTAAAACGTAAACAGTTCGTTTTTCGTGTTTGAGTGGGTTTTAATATTTTTTGTGCTTTTCAGTTATTTGTGGTTTTTTTGTCACTTTTATAAGACTCTTCTATTAGTTATAAGGACATATTTAGTGATAGTGGTAGTACGTTTTAGTAGTTAGTGTATAAACTTTTACCTTATAAAATATGGGGCATCATACAAATGTCCCAGGTAGAAAAGATTTGAACAAAACTAAATAAATCCATTTTGATTTGTTATATTTTTAAAAAAAATAAATTTTCAAAATTGTAATTGCAAAGGATGTATTATATTAATGATGCCTCCAATATTATTTTCTAACAAAACAAACAAAAGAACAGTATTTTTTATGCAATTGGAAAATCGTGTTTTCCCAAAAATTGTTTTGTTTAAACCTCCTCAATGAATAAATTGTATAATAAAAATTTAATGTTAAAGATACATAAAGGATTAATTTCCAATATTTTTGACAAATCTATATTATATTTTAAGTTGTTTTTAATGTAACATAATATTATGTTAGTACCAATGCATTATCTTTTTTTTTAATAAATTACTTTTTAATCGTTTTTTACCTAATTATTTTTTATATTTCCTTTCCACCCATGTCCCCTCAATAATTATTTTACTTTAATAAACAAAAATATTTAGGTATTTTTGCAAGTTTTGCATTAATTTTTATTAAAATTTATCATAAACCAATATATTAATCATTAATAAAACTGATTATAATAACTACTTTTTAGTAAATATTTAATAACAATTAAAATCAAGCACAAACTCAAAATTACTTTTACAGAAAAATATCAATTTGCACGCCACTTCATTGGCGACAGTGCTTAAAATTAGTCTTCATGGAACGTCTATGACATACAGTGAGTGCTATAAAGTTGGGTCCATATATAAGAATTTGTTTTAATATTATGAATGGAAAAAAACGTCATAGGACATTCACCTCTACTTATTTAAAAACCTAAAATAACCCATATCAAAGTTGGCTAATTGCATTATCTATCAAATTCGCAATATCTTTGAAAAATCGCTTAAAAATCCCTTCTTTTTTAACGAGTGTCACAGATAACTAATGTCAGTAGTCAAATTTGATATGGACTATTTTAAGTTTTGAAATAACCAGAGGTGATTGCCCTACGAGGTTTCTTTTTTCAAATCGTAATATTAAAAAAATCCCATATGGAGCCAACTTTATGGCACACACTGTATAACGCAGGTTTGAGAACGTGCAAAACTATATTTTTATTCTTGTCAACCTTTAGACGAACCGTTTGCGCAGGCAAAAGTTTTCAACTAAGGGTGAGATTACAGAACGTCTGCAAGTTTGCAACTTTGCAGTTCTGCAAATATGGTGGACTTACAAATGCAAGTATTCCAAAAAATATCTGCAAATTCGCAATATTTATTGTGGTTTATTACCCCCAACAATACTAAACCCAAATTTGGAATACGAAAACTTGATTCTTGCATGTGTAAGTCAGTCATATTTGCAGATTTTCAAAGTTGCCGCCATATTTGCAGATCTGCAAAGTTGCAGACGTTCTGTAATCTCACCCTAAAATACCAAATTGCTTGTGCCTTAAAACCTTCCCGATTTTGTCACACTATAAATATCTTTAAAACCATTGTGAAAATATACAGAACGGCAACGTCGTATTATCATATGCAAGTATATTTGAACGTCGGTTCTTATGCGCTAGTTCAGTGATGATGTAATTATGGTTCCACTGACAATTAAAGTTACAGTAGATTTTTTGAGTGCGTTTTGTTCGTTTTGTTTACCTAAATTATATCGTTTTTTCACTTTAATAAATATATTCCCAAAGTAAGTAGATAACATGCGTCAAATATACAATCGTTTAGTTACCAATTACATACCTTTAAACTATTTTTTATGACCTGTAAACAATATTTAGAAATAAACTAAAAACAGTAAAAACGTATGTCAAATTTATTGATGTTTTTGTTAAAAGTTTGGTTAGAATTAAATGTCAGAGGAACCAAAATGACATCACACTGAACTAGCGCATTGTACGTTGAAATAATTTGACATGCCGTTTGCATTTCTATTGGTCAACAATTATTTTGACATATGACGTTTGTTTTTCTGATTGGTCAACCATTAGTTGCTGCCCAAGATCCAATGGATATGTAACTCAGCCTTGCATGTCGCACAGGTGGTGAACACGGTGTACTAAAATGACATGATAATTAACACGTCAATTTTAAAAAATATGTCAAAATTTGCAAATTGAAATAATGCTTTTTGTAATAATTATCAAACATACAGCCGTCATATTGTGGGAAAGTTAATAAAAAATGATAGAGAATTCATTGAAAATAATTTGCTTATTAATCCTTGCAATAAATTTTTTAAAGTTTTCAATGATAATGTGAAATTATGATTAGTTATTATGGAATATGTTTATGTTCAATTTATTCTTACAACATTGCTGTTGATAATTATATCGCAATTTCCTAATTTTTTTCTTTATTACTATAAAAAGCATGATTTACTAACACATTGTTAAATATCAGAAACGGCCGCCATTTTTAGTCAATTTCTCAGCTTTAACTACCAATATCTATAATTTTACTATAAACGGGTTGTTCTATTAAATAAATAAATAATTTACGTCTATCAATAAACATGCAGCGTAAGAAACTTGACAACCTGTCAGATAGAAAGATATATAGATTGTTGTTGTAGAAACTCACCTTGGACAACACCTTGTCGATCAGCGTTGCTATGAACAGAAACGAACGCAGAAATGGCAGGATACGTTATTGAACTCATGGAAGCTAAAATTCCAGCGCCCCACATCATCCATGTGGTGGTGCCGAAGCCGTACCACAAAAGTTGGAGCATTTCGAACACCAGCCCCAACATTATGGTGTGCTTTGATCCGAGATTTTTTATTAAAATACCTATAACAATATAAAATTAGTATATTATGTAACGAACCTGTAAGGAACATGAAGAAAATAGCATTACATGAGAGTTACATACTCTATTTTATCTACGACGTTATTAATAATCAAATATTTATATAATGACAAAGGGGTACATTGTCATTGAAATATCTTTCTGAAATTCAAAGCTTTCTATAAATAATTAGAAAGAAGGGCACAAAAATATGAATATATTGATGTTTATTAAAATTAAGATGGCGTATTTTGTTTCGTCAAAGCTATTAATTAATGTTTAACGGGTAATGAATAGTCTGGAATAAATTGTTTTAAAGGATCGAAATGTTTTTGAAAATGAATGTCAAACTGGGATTTATAATTTTTGAAAAGATGTCAGGAAGAAATTAAGGAAAGTATTAGCATAGAAGTCACATACTTTGATTACTATACGGGGCAAGAAAGAGGTCCGACACGCCCAACATAGGGTGCGGCCATTTTGATTCCTATGACACAGTTTATAGCTAAAGAATCAGATCGCTCACTAAGCGTCGGCACTTTTGATCTCAATGTTCCAGTTTATACACTGCGCAACTCGGATAATACAATATATGACAACCGCCTATAATAAAACAGCAGTCTTCTGCGTATCCTGAATTTGTATCCCTGGAGTGGATGTTATTTTGGAACTTTCAACTGGTCCAAGTGAGCTAACTGATTCTTTAGCAATAAACTGTGACTCCAAAAATAATATTCATTGACACTGACAGCAGCAAGCAAAATATCAGGTGCGTTTTAATAATCCGCTTCTCCTTCCGGAATTGTCGGTTTAGTCGTTTTAACCTGTCAGATTAAAACAAGAAAACCGAGAATTCCTAAGTAGAAGCGAATGATTAAAACGCACCTATTAAAAACATTGCGCCAAGATGTAGGCAACACGTAATAAGGGTTCAAAATGGCGGAGTTTTCTATCTCCTTTTAAAAGGCACTAAGAAAGCTGCGCAGTGCACCATTCTCCGTATAGTAAAAGAAAATCAAAGTATGCGATAGAAGTACTTTTGGAAGTAGCTATTAGGCATTTCAAACAAAATGGCTGCCACTGGGTTTTAACAGGTTATAACTTGGTTATGATATGGCAACCTTGTGGGCCTGGTGATTTGACAGGATCAATAATATAGCTAGTTATATAGATTGATCATGCATGTTTTTCCAATGTCTTGAATTAAAAAAAATGTAGGTAATTATTTTTTGACTGTATTCAAAGACTGAAAATTGGTTTAAAATCACACTGATTCTGATTAAATGAGCCTTTGCAAGGCAATATGGCCGTTCGTAAACGACCCGCTTTAAGCAATCTATGCAACTGTCAATGAGAGCAGGCTACAGGGTTGCCATATCTAAACTGTCAGTTCTCACTTGTCAGCATTTTCACAGGTCATTGGAATGCCTAATTGTTAAAAATGTTAAGAAGTTGTTAAGAAAATTAAATAAAAATTGATAGAAAGGTAGGCGAGGTGTGTCAGAGAAGCGGGGTAAGGATAAGAGTAGGTTAAATAGATAAGCAGAGTAAGTATGTGTAGAATTAAGTTGAATGAGAGATGAGGACGACTAAGTATAGAAGAAAAGAAATTCATTGAGATATAAAAATTTATGTAAATTAATATTTTTAAAATCAAAATTGAATATGAACACATCAAACATCGAATGGATACATGAAATAAAGATTTTAGATAGAGTTTTTATTTCGTTGTTGCTTCAATTATTGATATTGTGAATGATTGTGAAAGGAACCTGGGATTGAGATCAAGAAATAGGTTCTATTGGGAAAGTTTACAGGGCCAGTATAACAATTTAATTTATACCTTTATCATATCAATATGTACTTACCCAAACAAATTTGTGCTATAACAGCCATCAGACCGACTAAACCTACAAAAACAGCTACCATGGGATCGCTCCAACCCATCACTAATTTGAGATACATAAATATACAGCTGTACTGGCCGGCTTCCGGCAAATACGACAGGAACACCGCTATGCACAGCAACAAGATGGTAGGATCTTGTCCGACGTTTCGAAGAGCCGAAAACGGATCGGCCTGTTCCCAGCCGATTGGCGATACGCGGACTTTTTCGGGCAAGCTCTCCGGCACCGCTACCAGGATGAAGAACACGTCTAGGATCGCCACCGCCGTGGCTAGAGCTACTACTAGGGATACTGACCACCTGTAAAACAAATCATCAAATCGAGTGGTATATTTAATTTGGTACAGGGTGAGCAAAACTCGATGTAATTACCTTGGTTTTCAAAGTTGGAAAAAATATACAAGCCTGGCTTAAAACGGACTTTTTTTCGTGTTTCCTTTTCTTATAATAAAGCTAAGACATCGAGTTTCGCTGACTGAACCCACACAGAATAGCGTGGTACAATGGTACATTCTTTCGAGTACTTTTGTGCCGTATAAACCTTACCTTTCCATGAGGTACGCTCCCAGGGCCGGACTAATCACCATACTAGCAGCGAACGTACCGCTCACTAAACCGTACGCCAGCGATCGTTCTCTTTCGTCAGTCACGTCGGCCACGTACGCGAATACTACACTAAAAGTTACCGCAAACACTCCGGAAATACTGACCATGGCGAAGAACCAAAAAGTGTTTATAGTCATTAGGGGAATGGGAATGCACGTGAAGAACACGGTGATGAGCAGGAACAGCTTCCGACCGCACACGTCTGACAGCGCCCCCACCAGGGGGGCGCTCAGGAACGACAGGATGCCCTTGATGCCCATGATCAGGCCGTTCATCAGGAACGTGTGCTCCGGAAATGTGTCGTTCAGTACGGTTATGAGGGGCATGGTCAGGAGACCCCACGCGAAAAACTCCAGGAAAATAACCACCAGGGCATGGTACAGGCTGGGTTGGCCGATTCCTGATGTCTGAAACAGAAAAAATGGGATCAAAAATAATATAAATCCAAGCCACTAAATACTTTTTATGTGCGCCAAAGAATAAATGAGAAGTTTGGTTGCAAAACTGGCTAAATCCATTTTTTTATTTATTTTCGTTTTTTTTTTTGTCGATTTAGTATCTTTAACCGCTGTGAAACTTTATTTACTGCAACAAGTTCTGCTAATAATGTATTTAGTTGTTTCCGTTATTATTTTTTTAATGTGCCCTTCCACATACCTTATTATATCTTAGACTTTAAGGTTTAAGCCTTGAATTATCAAACGGATCAAATAAAGCAAAATAAGAGAATTTTAGGAAATGTACGTAAGATCTCCGCTAACGTTAAGTTAAACTTAGAGTGTGAGAATGAAGTTATGTCTAAATCGAAAACAGAAAGGCAGACTACTTAAGCAAAGTAGAAGGCATTTGCAATCTATACTACAGAGATCAAGCTCACATCGTTTAAGTACTAGAACTGACTTTATTAAAGATAGTGTCTGTCCTTAATTTTGGACGTTTAAGGGGAGCAAATGTGGCGACATTCGTATCAGTTCGAAGTTTTTAATATTTAATATCATCATTTAAATCTTCTAAAATGGCCATTTCTAATGCCTCTTCCACATTATGAACAATAACAAAAATGAACTATAATTTAAAATTTTTAAAATGAGGTTAAAAATATGTATAATAAGGCACAGATATGGATAGAGGAGATAGGAAAAGGCTATTTCTTCCGGTATTTCAAAATAAGCATATTCTAGTAGTGTTCGGTTTGGCCAGTGGCTGGAACGGAACAGGAGCGGATTTTTTAGGGTACTTTAAATGACATTTAAGCATCTTGAACTATCACTAATCGGACTAAACCGAATGTTAAAAGGATCGTTTGGAGTTAAAAGTGTTAAAGGGACTTGGCAGACCGAACACTGCATCTAGGTCGCCATGTTTGCAATTTAAGAGACTCACGCATATGCGCAGTTGCTGTAGTGTTTCGACAGAAGTGTCATTTATGTCAATTCGTATTGTTTTTTTTTTTTTAATTCGCTATTTTAGTGAATTTAAAAAAGGAGTTTTTACAATTAATAAAATGGTAAAGAAATGCTTCGTTTTTGGTTGTTTAAACGAGGATTCATAAAACATTACATTTCACAAGTAAGAAATTTTTTCAATCATCACCGTATTTCTTATTTCGGCTATAAGTACTAAATTGGAGTGTGAAACTGTCAAATTATCTTAAAAAAAAATATTTTGCTACACCCACATGGATATTGGTTTATCTACGCACAGACTACAAAACGAAAAATATGTCATTGCGTTCAACTGAACGAATATATTTCATATCCATTCTAGGTAGTGAGAACACTGCAAAAAATGAAATCCATCAATCACAGTTCATATTTTGGACACCCAACTATTATTATTTTTAAAATTTTAAATATATGACAATTCTAACAAACTAATTGTCAGTAATATTTTTGTGTAGAATCATAAGTAATATAATTTTTATTTGGTCCACATTTTGAAAACAATCTTAAATTTGAATCGAACTATATGAAACAAATTTAATTAACTAAAATCCTAAAATAAATTTTTAAATTTGTAGATTTTCGATAGTGAGTCGTAGAAAAAATATACTGTACAACTCGAGTGGATTGTCCATATCGAACTTAAGACAATTGAGCATTCCGCCTACGGCGTCGTCTTCGTGCGATATGGCCATCACATCCACTCTTGTTGCACAAACTACTATTTTAATCACAGATCATCAATAATCATAATTATAAGTACCTTGGAGGAAAATTACATACCAAAATTAATAGAAACCTTAACAAAGATGATATTGTTCAAACATCAATGAAACTTTAAAAAACTAAATTTGCATTTTTTTGTTCCTTATTAACTTTTATTAAATAACTTTTTTTTTATTTAAAATTTATTAGTGCCGTTTTCTAATATAATATAAATGTTTTGTTTAATAACAGGACGTTAACATATTAAGTAAAAACATTCAAAGTATCCTTCTGCACTTGACAAAATCAAAGCTTTGTTATTTCTTATTACAACCTCTGCATGTAAGCGAGTGAATTTACCGCCTTTGCAGATTTCTTTAGTGGCCGGAATCGAGAGTGTCCATTCCTTGCTGATAAGTCCTAATAAGGACAAAACCGGTCCGAAATATAAAATTTTTGTTTTTCTTTGGATATAATTCAATTTCTGTTGCGGAATTAGCCAAAGAAGCAGTTGTTCTCCAAAGGGAAACGGTCGCTCGTTTTAATTTCTAATACATGGCTTAGATAATTTGTTTTTATTTATATAGTTTTAAATTTACTAAAGGATATGCCCATAATCTCTATATTATTTTGATTGATGATTCGTAATGTACGCTCAAGTGCATGCCATACTACTGTGAAACGATATTTCAAATAAATTCGAATTCCTTCGATTTATAGAGTAGTAAATTCCATCATCTTGTTACTGAATACTAATAGTTATAAGCAACAGATAGCTAGATAATTTAAATACTTATAAAGATACAAGAACAGAGAACATAACCTTACTTATTCCCTTACGATTTTATGTTTATGGTGCGGTGTGATAACGTTTTTGTAAATTAATGTTTTACTTCATTTTAAATTAAACAACCACAAAAATATGTATGTGAAACATTTATTTGAACCAGTCGCTCGAAGCCAACCCAATTACTACAATAATTTTTATATAAAATAAAATACTTTCAAGATCTGAGCAATTGATATGCCCATGTAATAATTTACACACAAAATATATATTTTTTAATACATGAAAATTCTGTTTAAATCACGTGATTCCAGATTTATTTGCTATAACATATATAACGACCTTGGATTGTTGTATTAATTTCATATGAAATGGTATTTTATCTCTTGTATGTTTTTACTTAATTTTAAATAAAATTTCAAACAAGACTGATGTTTTTTTTTTTATTTTAAGAAATCTTAATATCAATAAAAAAAGAAAAATAAAAAATATGTATTACTAATTTTTAAGGTTATTAGTTCTATTGTGTAATTATCCTTAATATTTTCAAATTGTGTTTAAGTATGTCAGTCCTATCCTGTACACTTAAACACGCAATCAATGCGCAAGCGCGTAGGTCATTTCTTTTTAAAAGATGGCTGCCTTATTCGCTCCGTGCGCGACAGCAGCGCCAATTTGTTTTGGTATTAAAGGACTATTTCTGCCTATACTGACAAATACAATTTTTAATAGAATTCGTAAATAAAAAGTATATATATTAGTTTTAATAAAAGTATATGGATTTGTAAAACAAATAAAACATTAATTTATTATTATATATTTTTCCCGCTTAAATTAAAGAAAATTATGTATAATCAATAAAAATCAATAATAAAATATAGGCCGGCAACAGTATTTACTGGAAGATGTATGAGAAGTTGCCTAAGTCTAATAAGTTGTCATTGAAGAATTAGCCTATTCTGTCAAAATAAAAAAATACCATATAATAATAGCGTGAAGTTAAAATGTATAAAAAAGTATCGTAATTTATATTTTCATTTTTGTTCGAAAGAAAACATAGAATGAATGATTAAAACTGGTTTCCCATCAGTAAGTCACAAAATTGCATTCCAGCCAAATATTATAATCAAAGGCAGAAATCTGGAAATCTAGTCCTTGCTGAATGAACATTTAAGAATAAAGGGATATTAAATAACATCGTAAAATGATAATTTATTGTTTATTTAAAACCTTTCAAGTTTCTGATGTCTACTGGTGTCAGGATTACTGTTATTATCACAGTAATAAAGGTAATTTTTCTTCTTATTGTACACCTATCCAATTATTTCTTTGATTTAATTTCCACTTTGCTAGTGAAATTTGTAATATAAGTTTCACTGTTTTTTTTGCTAATATTTGTACAATTTTCAACACAGCAACTCCGGTTGCTTATTGTGTTGTTTTTACCTACTTTTTTGAAAAAAAGTAAAATGCATACGTGTATTTGATATGCCAAAATTACAAAATATCGCCCTAAAATGCACGAATTATCCGCAGCTAGCGCTAGTATCGCTTTTGCTTCCCTTTCCATGACTTCGCACGGAGCGAATAAGTTTTATTTTAGCAAGGAATTTACTTGCCTCTAATAATTACGTTGTCACTATTAGTGGCTGACGTCATAGAAATAGGGAATATATCCACAGCTTATACAATACAGCTAAAACACTCTCTTGGCGGCAACGGTTTGCGTCGATTTCGTCGCGCATCGCTTAAGCTCCGCCTTCGGACGGAAAAGACGGTTTTGGCGTTCAGAAGCGTACTTAGGTAAGGTGTTGAGTCGTGCGTATAATTTTGTTGATTGTATAATTTCGTGGAGCCTATAATTTCGTTGATTTTGTTTGAGTTAAAGGTACTGTTATTATTTTGGTGACTCTTTAGCTGTGAGTAGAATGAGTGAAAAAAATACATCATTCTGGTTGTGCAGTCAAAAGCTGTTTTAATAAGGGTTATCCCCACTCGACCATTCACTGTTGGGTTCTAATTAACAGTGCTGTTCCTAAAGTGGCGCTGGGAAACAGTAACAAAGCCTACATAGAACACGAGGCGAAATAACCCTGGTAGTTGAAGCCGATGACACATAAAAAAAAAGGGTTATACCTACAAGAAAACATTCTTTCGTTTTCCCAAGGACCCAAACCGATAAGTACCACATTATAAGAAATTTACATTGTTAATAATATAATTTATACAGGGTGTCCCATTAGTGCGTTATTGTTCAATATTTGTGTTGTAGACACGCAAAAAAGTTTTAAATAAAAGTTATATGGATTTGAAAAATACCTACATATTTTAAAAATATCTTTGGATATACAGGGTGTCGCGTTTTTGTCTGGCAAATTAAAATGTATGTTTTTTAAATGGAACACCTTGTTTTTTATTTTATGACGAAATTATTAACACCCTAAATTATTGTAAAGACGAGTTGCTACAGAAT